AGAATTCTTCATTTTATAAATAAATTACTCTTCAAACTCCAAAATTATAATGTTACGATATTACGATTTTTAAACAAGTAGAACCCGACAAACGCTGGATGAAAATTGTAATTTCAATTTTTCGTTCTGCATCACGTTACTTAACCTTTTTTTTTCTGCGCCACGCACGTCGAGAATTTTTTTGCTCCAAAATTGTAATATCTCCGCAGTTTCAAGTATATTTATGTAAAAAAAAAAGGCAAAGAAGAAGAATAATAAATTTATTACTTCTCAAAGAGAAAGCGACGAATTAGTTATATACGGCTTGGTCACTCGTTACGGTCCGCAATCAGTTGGCCAGGAGGCAGGTGGTTTAAAATCCACGAGTCGAGCCGTTCTCTTCGTCACTCTGCTCCTCGACATCTCACTTTCCCTTTCTCTAGCTTCCTCCCACCTTTGTACCCCACAGTGTACAAAATCCGAAATCTCGCTCGCTTATCGGCGAGCGACTGAGAGACAAAAATTCGCCGAAACGACGAGCTGAACGAAAAAAGAAACAAGAACGAAGAAGAAACGCGACACGAACAGCAACAACAGCAACGGCAGCGGAGATAAAGCACGGGAGAACAGCTGCTTAGAGATGCAGGGGCGAACAACACAGGGGTAGTGCAGTTGGAATAGGTTGGCGTAGCAGGAGGCCAGGGCAGGGCAGGCGCGAGCTGAACAGTCGGCGAGTAACCGGCCAGACAGAGACGCCTACACGCCTATGGTGCACCGACAACAGGTCGAACAAAGACGCCGGACCAAAGACACGGAGCACGTCGAAGAGAGAGAGAAAGAGAGAGAGAGAGAGAGAGAGAGGAAAGGGGTGGCTAGTGAAAGAGGACGGAGAAACGGCGCCTGCGTGCGTCACGCGTTGAGAGCTCGGCTCTCGTGCGAAATCCTGGATCCCAGTCGCGAGCGCGCCGCCGATAGAAAGCATTCGGAGAAGCGAGGACGATCAACGGTCGCTGACCCCTGGCTTCCACCCGGCGAGAGTCCATCCTCTGTCGCGCTCGCCCTCTCGCGCGCTCTCTCGCTGTCTCGCCCGCGGAGCCACAAGTTCCGATCCACGAGGAATCCACCGGCCGGCCGGTTCCCCCTCGCCTTCTCGTCCCATCGCGATCGCCAGGCCGAAACCGGTGATATTCCGTCTGCCTCCGTCAGAGACGATCGAGTCTCCTTCGTGTTCGGTGGGGAAAACAGTTCTATCGTTTCTTCCCCGGGGAGACGTACGCAGCTCGCGGTTTTCTTCTTTCACGGCGAGGCGGGGAGGGATGTTTCAAGGGAGTGACGTTTTACGCGGTGTGTCCGTTGTGCAGGTTGTGCACTGGAGGTGAACGACCTTGTTCTCTGATCCACCAGGTGGATTCCGAGCGAGGATTCTCTCTCTCTCTCTCTCTCTCTCTCTCTCTCTGTCTCTCTCTGTGTGTGTCTCTCTGTGTGTGTTTGTGTGTTTTTTTTTCTTACCTCTCTTCATCGTTCGTTGTTCGAGGGGAACGAATGCTTAGAGGAGACGCGGTTGGAAGATAGGGGTAAGAATTCCCTTGCGAGAAATCTCGTGCTCGTTGTTTCCTTGATTTGCAACAATGTTTGAAAATATTGTTAAGAGCTGATGGATTCTTTAATCTTTCATACGTGGAATGACGTGCCGCGCAAGTTGACAATTTCTTTGTTTCCAAAAATTGTAACGTTTCCTCGGTTTTTTATGTACATTCGAGTACAGAGCGAAATTGGCGACGAATTGTTGTATACGGTTCGGTCACTCGTTATGGTCCGCAATCAGTTCGCCAGAGCAAGTGGTTGAGGATCGATTTTCGATTAAAATCCTTTTCTTTCCTTTCCTCTTTTCTTTCTTTTTTTTTTTTTTTTNTTTTTTTTTGAAGGAAAATTGCACGATACAATCGCGCGAAATTCTCGACGAACAACCGATTGTTCGGAAATTCCAATTCCATGAAAATTACGCGATTCCTCCGTTTGAAAAGTTGGCGAAAGTCGGCAGAACCGTGGACAACTCGGGGACAACTTGATTGTTGGCGAAAGAGCTGGATGAAAATTTCCTGCCGGGAACTACTGATAAATAGAGATCGTGCAACTTTCGTTCGTTTTATTTGCCGTTGAAGAGTGATTGATAGAATTTTCTTCGAGGAAACGCTCGAATTGAAGGAGAAGATCGATTGAAGTCCGAGGGTGAATCGAAGCTGAGCTCGTGGAGGATCGTGCGTAAGAGTCTCGAACGAACGTACTTGAGGATGATACGGTGCTTTCAATTAACTCGATCGCAATCTGCGTGGTTAAATAGAATACCAATGAGCTGGTTAAAATTCCAGAAGATCGTCGAAGAATTTTTCTAACAACCTCCTCTTCAGTTCGATTACAGTGATTTGTACAATTTCGAATTTTAAACACTGCGAACGTATCACTTAGCGGCTGAATAATTTGAATGTCAATTGGGTAACATTCGATAGTTCTGTAAAGTTGATGAAATAGTAAAAATAATTTCTATCGTTTTGGGCAACATTCGATAGTTCGTACAGTTAATAAAAGCAATAGCGGATGAAATAGTAAAAATAATTTTTATCGTTTCGCGTGATTGTTGTGATTCAGAGAGATCGCGTTCGGAAATTTACAGAAACGTTTCATCGGGAATTTTTCAAAGATTTAGATCAAAAAATTTTAATAAAAAACATCACAGCAACTCGTGGAAACTCTGATGTTATTGCGATGAAAAGTTTCAATTATCAGAAATTAGAATTTCAATAATATTATTTCTAACAATCTGTGTGATTTTGAAGCAACAAGCATAGTGTCGAGTATCCGCTCGTATTTTACATTTATTATCCTTTGTTTATCGCTGTGCTATCCCATTATTGTATTAATGCACTGTTAGCGAACAGTCCATTTGCGGCAGTTGATATTATTTTTCCTCAAATTACGTCGAGACTGACTCTGTTTCCACTGAAAAAAAAAAAAAAAAAATGAAAAAAAGGAACGTTATTATTAAAGTCGGGAGAATCGCGAGACACAGTATCTTTGTGTAATTTTTTATATCACTATTTCGGTAATTCAAGCACGGAATTAATTAAATTTGAAAGAAACTTTGATATCTGTGCTCTCTCTCTCTCTCTCTCTCTCTCTCTTTCTCTGTATTCAATGTCGCTAGCGGACAATGAGGTAGAATCTAAGGGAAGTCATTAGTAGAATACGAAGAAGAATCCACCGGTCTAATTGGCTAAACAATAATTTCAATTGAGACAACTTATACGGAAATTAATTAAAATCGCAAGACGCTTCGTATTCCAATTATGAACGAAACGAAGAGAAAATTAATAGTGAAACATGAAGAAGAACGACTAAGTTTCGTTAACTTAACTGAAATTAATAAAGCAATAAAATTCCCAATCATTTAGATTATTTTGGCGAAGATTGGCCTAAAATTTTCAGGAGCGTTTCAGTTCAAAATTAATTAATTAATCGTGACGAATTGAATGATTAATGACGTGTAAGTGTTACAAATGAAAATTTCGAATGGGAGGAAAAATCATGTTTCACGTTGAAAATGTATATCGTGAAAAATATGTTTATTTAGTCGTGTGAAAAATTAATCTATATTACAGATATTATATTATCATTATTATGTTATATTAATCCGCTATTATGTTATTGTTATTATTACAGATACAAATAGTATTATTATTATATTATGTATATATATATATATATATATATATATAATGTATAATATATATATTTTATATATATATAAAATATATTGTATATTTAATGTATTTATATATATTATATATGATATAATATATATATAAAATATATTATATATTTTATATATACATTTTTTCAATTGAAAAATAGCACTTCTTCGGGTACAACAATTTTTCGACAGCTAAATTACAAATTATACAATTTTATTTTTTTATAGCTTCGTTGTACAATTATCGAGTTATTAACTTTAAAAAATACATTGTGAGATCGTTAAGAATTTTTAACGTTGTTCAATTACAAAAACACAAAAATTTTATATATATATATATATATATTTGTATGAAAATTTTATATATATTTATATGAGCGAATTTTTGTATTTTAATGCAACATACGATGAAATAAAAAAAGTAGTACGACATGGAAAAGATGCGACATGCGAATTTTGTCCACTATTTACATACGTCATTTATCATTCGAGCAGAATAGACATTCAACCTTTTATCACAACTCCGAAAAAACACAAATACGAGAAATAAATCGCGAAATGTCGAATACAACCCTTTAAGCATTAAACTTTCACATTCTCAATGGCCGCTGAAACAGATTAATAATTAAAACCGCGCACAGGAACTGCCTGAATGTTTATGCATTCATGAGAGATTTCAATACGCGGCGGCGTGTACAAAAGTGAACAAAATATTTCAAACTGAAGCTATCGTCGTGCGACGAAATCACGAAACTAATTAATATCCAACGTTGCAGCGATGAATGACTGACAAACGAACGAGCTAGATAATTAATAATCCAGCCCACGTTGAAGTAGCAAATTTTTCATTTCGAGTTGCGTTCGTTACGCGGGGAAAGATTAAATTATTACGAAATAACCACGAAATGTGACAGACGCATGCACATAATTGCGCCAAAGTACTTGTGCGCAAAATTTGAAAAAAAAAAAAAGAAATGAATCCCAAATTTCTGGATTTATATTTATTTCTGGTTTTATATTCAGGTCGAAATCCATTCATTTGGATTTTGTTTCTTTGGTCGTACACTCGATACTCTCGGCTAAAAATTCTTTCTCTTTATTGGAACAATAATAAATCGTTCTTTTCTTTTTCTTTCTTTCAATCATTTCATCTGGAATTCACGATCGCTGCGTGAAACATATTGTATTTCGGTGGAGGGAAGGAGGCACGCTCGTGCATTACGGTCAAAGAAGAACGTCTCTAATCGCGTGGATTTGCATGCTTGCAGGAGGAACGACGCACGAAGCCCCGATAAATCGGGGATCTCCGATCCGGGAACGGGCAGTTGGCGCAGCTGGTTCGTGGTGTAATACATCGGGCAACGTCGGAGCGATCCTGATCGGCGCACGTGTTCACGCAACGAGACGCCGCCGATGCGCAGTTTGGTACGTGAACGTTTGCATTTGTGCTTTTGTGATTAGAACAGCTTCGATCAGTCCGCGTTATCTCGGCGAGCAATCAGAAATCGCCAAACGCCAAGCTTCCAAATACGAAAGAAATATATTTTTAGTAATAAATAAAAATTAGTGATATTGATAATAGCTTGAAGTAATGAAAGTGGATTTTTTAAAAAGTAAATAAGTAAAATTTATCGTGTATCTTTTTTATGAGGCTTAATTAATCTATTCTAATAATTTTGATTATCTCGAAAATAAATGATCTGAATATATATATATATATATATATATATATATATATATATATATATATATATATATATTATTTTTTTGTAAAATAAAAAAAAGAATATATTTAGAAGTTAATATATATATGTATATATATATATATAAAAAATTAAATATATTCTTTTTTTTATTTTACAAAAAAATAATATATATGTATATATATAAACTTTTAAATATATATATATCTAATTTTTTTGTAAAATAAAAAAAAAGAATATATTTAGAAGTTAAATGTTTGTCGTATTTATTAATATCTAGTTTTTTTAAAATAAATTTAATTTAGACATAATATCGAGAAACTTAAGTAACTTAAGTAATTATTAAATCAAAACGTTTAAACGTTTAAACGACAACGTCTAACTTTACTTTCTGCGTTTGAAGTACCAAGGAACAGAGATTTTTTTTATTACTGAATGAAAAATTGTGGGGAAAGGGTGAGCTCGTTAGTGTATTGACTTTCAAACTGGTAAAACATTTTCGATCAAACGCAAATATTTTTGTACGTATTTAGAAACATATCGAAGTCCTTTGGGTATAAATTATTGTTGTAATTGTTTGAGAGTAGAATTGACAATTTCTCATTTTTTTTTTTTTTTTTTTTGAATTCTCTTATGTGAAAGATTTCAATGCTTTTTAAGTATTCTCGAATAGTTGCATTTGATCGAGAATTTTCCAAGGTGTTATTAAAATATTATTACTATTATAGTGTTATTAAAGTATTATTACTATTATTGTAATTGGGAATATTGATGCGTGTTTTTAATAGATGTAGTGAGTTAAATTTTAGAAGCAGGCTGATCTCTTTGTTACGTTCAAAGATGATTTGACAGATTTTAGAAATTATAATGATTTCTTCATTGTGTTCAAACATCGATGAAAAGTGATCGTTTTTATCGTGTGAAATATTGAAACAAGAATGATCTTGACGTTGAATTCTAAACTGATTTTTGGTGATTTTATAATGTTTGAAATTTTATGATGTTCAATTTTAAAAGTGACTTGTTTTTCAAATTTGCAACGTGTTGAATCTTTGCGTTAAATAAGAAGCACGAATGGTAGATTAAAAAATCAGTTTGTCAAATTTTAACAGAAAGGTTTGTTAAATTTCTAGCGATTTTATGACAGAATTGACGAACACGATGTACATTAAAATTAGAGAGAATGACGAGCAAAGAGTGAATTTTAAAGCAAGGATAATGTCCACCGGTGAAACAGCTACTTTAAGTAAAAAGTTCTGCATCGTGTAGATCTCACAGCGTGTAAAATTTTAAGAAGTGGTTTGAACGTACCTTTAACATGTATATACATGGTCATTCTTTGTTATATTAAATCTTGCAGTGGAATTTTCATTACACGAAATGTTCGGGGTGAAGCCATTTTTCTTCCGCGGAATTTTAAATTAGAAAAAAGTTATATATCGCGTGGAAATAAACGTGAAGCCACGGTGATATTTTACCATGTCAATTTTTCTGCAGAGGATAATTCCTCAATTTGCGAAACATTCTCGACGGCGATCATTTTTCATTACGAGAAAGATTTTGAACGATGAGCAGGGTCGGATGATTGGCCAGGTAATTATTTGATTGGGAATTACTGGCGTGGAATCTCTTCTCAAAAAAAAAAAAAAAAGAAAAAAGGAAAGAAAAATTGATTTATGCGACCTGGGCGTACGAAACTGTGGACACGAAAGAATTTACGTTGTTTGAAATGAAGATTGATAGCGACCCTCCATCAATTAGGTAGAAGCTCTTTATTATCGTCTTCGTTAATTAATTAGCTTCAAAGGTTCAAAAAAAATTTATTTGACAAGCATTGAACTCGAATTCAGTTCCCTGAATTTCTTGTTTCGGCGCAAATTTTTATCATCGATAGGCGTTTTCATTTAGAACTCTAATTCCACGAGAAATATTAACAAAAGTTCATCGATTTCGAATATTTCGTTATTAAAGTTTATTCCCCCCTCGTGGCGTTAACTTTCGAAAATGTCGCGGCGAGAAAGATTACTAAATTGTCGAAAATATTGACAAATTGAGAATCAACATCGACATATATTCGCAAACATTGAGAATTTTAACATTAAAAAATTAATTTCTTTCTCGAGAGAATGACTTTAACTTCCAAACAGCTCGCACACAAATTTGATATCGACGAAAAAAAAAAAAAAAAAAAAAAAATGAATCGATCCTCCGTCATTCCAACGTAACTGCAAAGTCAATTTCCCGATTCTTTGCCGTTTCTTTCTTAAAATGTTAACTTTTCGATACGCTCTCGAGATCTGTAAATTTTAATTCCGCGGTAAGCATCGAGGAGGATCGATCCAGGATGCTCCAGTGCACCAGCGTTATTACGAAATCAAATTTGCCCCTTTGTCTTCGTTCTTCTTCCCTCGAAACGTTAACTTTCGAACGTCCCGCTACACTTCGGACTTGGACATTTCAATCAATAGCAATTAGCCGACCTCGAGTGTTTCAGTCTTTAAATCAATCTCCGCCCTTTGTCCCTTCCTTCGTTCCCTCTTCAAGATGTTAACGTTCGGACGTCTGGCCGTTGAAAATAATAGGAATGGCCGGTTGAAAGGAATTGAACAATCCTCCATGGCGGAGGGCTGTTCGAAGATACGAGCCAGGATAATAAAGCCAGTTTGAATGGACGCCTCATTATCATTACTCCTCCGAAATAGAAGAGCCCCTGCCGTTGCATTCTGCGTTGTATTGTCAGTAAAACTGCCAATTATCGATTATGATTTCAACGGGGATATGTGAAAGTCGTTTTCAATGCTTTTCGATTATTATCCGCGATGGAGTCCGTCGTGGAAATTATATCCGTGGTGAAATTTTAATCCGAGCGATTTGGTTTTCGTTTCGTTTCTTTATTTCGCTAGCATTCTCGACAGTATTGACGAAACAATTCCACAATTTCTCGGCAAATATCGAGCATTCTTCTGTTTGCGATTGTTTTTTTTTTTCATTTTTTGAAGGCGAAAGTTTCAATATCTCGGTGTTCATTTATTTTCAATCATTCGACTTGCTACTTTGTTGAAGCTAGTTTATTTTATGTGTAATAATTTTTTTCTGAGTATTTTTTTCTCAATTCAGAATGTAATTAATTTTTTATAATATGTAGAGTATAAATTATATAAATTTAAATTATAAATATTTAAATATAAATATAAATATGAATATGNAATATAAATATAAATATAAATATAAATATAAATATAAATATAAATATAAATATAAATATAAATATAAATATAAATATAAATACAAATATAAATATAAATATAAATATAAATACAAATATAAATATAAATATAAATTAATATAAATTGTGCGAATCATCGATATGTATAATTTACAATTTATGCTTTCATGTTTCATCGTCTGCACAAATATAAGAAATTTAAACGCTACTTCATTTAACATTATATATCATTATAGCACGAAATTTCCGATTTTGAATCGCTCCGTGATTCAAAAACAATTCTTCATCCTGCACATGCATAATGCACATGCATCAAATTTTATATGCACGATTCGAACGTAAAAGATTTAAATATTCAGGCGATCACTTTGGATATTGAACACGTAACGAAATAAACAATTAAAAGAAACAAAATCGAGGTAAATTATTAACGTAACGTGATAATATAATACCAAAGTATTATTACGTTCGATATTACTGCTCTCTCGAACACTATGAAATATCATTTCGTTTTCCAAAAATATCTTCTCAGACAAACGTCCGATTATCGAAAGGCAATTTCCTGAAAGCAGTTGGAAAGAAGTGGACGCAGAATGTAGAAAGGTAGAACTGAAACATATGTTTCTCTAAGTAAGCAGTTTCTGCAGAACTATTACCACCACGTAGCGAAGAATCATATCGACCCCGTTTTGAAAGTCACCCCGTACATTTTCACAAGTAAGGAAAGAATCGAGTCTATGAGGGCGTCATCTTCTTAAATTTGCTTCATCTCGGCGATATTCGCTCGAGATTCACCATCGGGGGGCAAGTGGCTGCTATCACATCGTCTGGAAGTAGAAAAATCGTCAGCAATAATACCGCCATTACTCATTCAAACAGGATACTTATGACTTATATACTCAGGAGGAAAATCATTGTCCAAGTTGCTCTTGCATTTCGTTATGGCTCTCACATTTGGAGGTTACGGGAATTTCATAGAAAACTACATACTTGATGTTCTATATTTCCATTCTACATTCTACCATCTAGGTTCAATAATTTTTTCTTTTTTTTTATGGTGTAATATTATATATATTATAATATTATGCATTATAGTATATATTATAATATTATACATAGTGCATTAGTGTATTATAGTGTATTATCAATATTATTGAATAGTGTATTGTTAATCATTATACATGATTATTATCGTTACTATTGACGGTAAATGGTAATAATAATATAGCAACATATTAATTCTTCTAAAGTTATTTTTACGAAGTAAATATGTTAGAATTTCTATTTATATATATATATTTTTTTTTTTTGAGATTCGTTCCAAATTTTGCTGATATAATCATGCTAACAAAACATCAAAATATTTTATTACATGCATATTTTAAATTATTTTTAAAATTATATTTAAGCACATTTTATAATATTAATATGGAATAACAAAATACACAATCACAATCAATCACAATATACTTTTGGATCCAATAATAAATAACTTC